CTCCACCTCCTCCATACACCACCACCTCAAATCACAAACTCACATTTGGCCGAACACCGTGTACTCACTCAGAAACAACCACATGTCACATCACAATCTCAGATGGAAACAAACACAAATCGCTTCATTCATTCTCTCCACCTCGCACTCGCATGTGCATTCTCTCATCCTCTCCCATCCAATCACACAAGCACGTTGGAAGTGCTTGCGACTCAGACATCTTCTCTCGGATTGACAAGTTGACGACAATTGAAACGATATTTCAAGAGACGAACAGACTGAAGTGTGGATCGCCACTGACTCGAGTGAACAGACAGGATTCTGAGTGACGTTCAGTGAATGGGTCGATCATGTGCACAATCATGTTTGCAAGCATGTATGCACACACACAATGATGAGGCGATTGTGTGTGGATTGGGGGACTACATGTGCACTACACACAAAGCCACACCGGGACACATGTGAAGCGGTAGACTAGAACCAGTGTGTAACACAGGTGAGGATAGAACCGACTGATTGTGTGATTGCTCACAACGATAGTCAGTGTGCTTCTCAATTCGATACTGTGCTTTGTTGACGATGCGGTAGATGAACAGCGAGTTTCCGTCCGATCACCAACTCACATGTCTTGCCGATTATTGTGACATTCATCTGTAGATATTTTCACCTCGATTGCTCGTCCAATAGAATGCGTCTGACCGGATAATTCACGTGTTGGTGTCGATGGAGAGAGTGCACGTGAAAAATTGTGCTTTGTGCAGTTTGGTCAGGCAAAGTTGTGATGTGGTGTATTTCAGCTGGACACATAGTGCATAGTGTTGACGATATTGCTGATGTTGGCACGTTGTAGGTGGTGGTGTCTGTCGGTGCTGTGGGACAGTTAGTTCGAGACAGTCGGAGATGATCGGACAGAGTTGGAGAGGTAGGGTTGGTGATTGTTTTCGGAGTGAATGATATAGTGTGTGTGTGTGTGTGTGTGTGTGTGAGAATGCATGCATGATTTGTTTGCGAGTGGGTGTTAGTTGTTGTTGTTGTTGTAGTTGTAGTTGCGGATTCAGTGTGAGGTGTAGAAATAGTCGCGACCGTGGTGTAGTGGCTATCATGGCTGCCTTCCAAGCAGTCGATCCGGGTTCGACTCCCGGCGGTCGCAGGCGATTTTGAAATCACCAACAACAACCCCATCATTCACATACAGACATCACAGAGTGCGTTCCGCCATACAAACGCACACACAACACACACCCGACCACACTCAAGACAACACACTCTGCTCCCACGTAGTCCGGACAGACAAACAACTCGTTTATCATTGTCTACACACCTCAACATCGACTGTCCGAAACGCCACGACACACCAGTGTGGCCGACTCGTATCACAGCATAAACACACGTTCGTCTACCCACTACGACAGATCACCCAACTGATGCACCAATCAAGCTTCATTATGATTCCTTCAAAATCAACTACTCACTCATAAACTCCTCTCTTCCTCAAACTCCACCTCCTCCATACACCACCACCTCAAATCACAAACTCACATTTGGCCGAACACCGTGTACTCACTCAGAAACAACCACATGTCACATCACAATCTCAGATGGAAACAAACACAAATCGCTTCATTCATTCTCTCCACCTCGCACTCGCATGTGCATTCTCTCATCCTCTCCCATCCAATCACACAAGCACGTTGGAAGTGCTTGCGACTCAGACATCTTCTCTCGGATTGACAAGTTGACGACAATTGAAACGATATTTCAAGAGACGAACAGACTGAAGTGTGGATCGCCACTGACTCGAGTGAACAGACAGGATTCTGAGTGACGTTCAGTGAATGGGTCGATCATGTGCACAATCATGTTTGCAAGCATGTATGCACACACACAATGATGAGGCGATTGTGTGTGGATTGGGGGACTACATGTGCACTACACACAAAGCCACACCGGGACACATGTGAAGCGGTAGACTAGAACCAGTGTGTAACACAGGTGAGGATAGAACCGACTGATTGTGTGATTGCTCACAACGATAGTCAGTGTGCTTCTCAATTCGATACTGTGCTTTGTTGACGATGCGGTAGATGAACAGCGAGTTTCCGTCCGATCACCAACTCACATGTCTTGCCGATTATTGTGACATTCATCTGTAGATATTTTCACCTCGATTGCTCGTCCAATAGAATGCGTCTGACCGGATAATTCACGTGTTGGTGTCGATGGAGAGAGTGCACGTGAAAAATTGTGCTTTGTGCAGTTTGGTCAGGCAAAGTTGTGATGTGGTGTATTTCAGCTGGACACATAGTGCATAGTGTTGACGATATTGCTGATGTTGGCACGTTGTAGGTGGTGGTGTCTGTCGGTGCTGTGGGACAGTTAGTTCGAGACAGTCGGAGATGATCGGACAGAGTTGGAGAGGTAGGGTTGGTGATTGTTTTCGGAGTGAATGATATAGTGTGTGTGTGTGTGTGTGTGTGTGAGAATGCATGCATGATTTGTTTGCGAGTGGGTGTTAGTTGTTGGTTGTAGTTGCGGATTCAGTGTGAGGTGTAGAAATAGTCGCGACCGTGGTGTAGTGGCTATCATGGCTGCCTTCCAAGCAGTCGATCCGGGTTCGACTCCCGGCGGTCGCAGGCGATTTTGAAATCACCAACAACAACAACCCCATCATTCACATACAGACATCACAGAGTGCGTTCCGCCATACAAACGCACACACAACACACACCCGACCACACTCAAGACAACACACTCTGCTCCCACGTAGTCCGGACAGACAAACAACTCGTTTATCATTGTCTACACACCTCAACATCGACTGTCCGAAACGCCACGACACACCAGTGTGGCCGACTCGTATCACAGCATAAACACACGTTCGTCTACCCACTACGACAGATCACCCAACTGATGCACCAATCAAGCTTCATTATGATTCCTTCAAAATCAACTACTCACTCATAAACTCCTCTCTTCCTCAAACTCCACCTCCTCCATACACCACCACCTCAAATCACAAACTCACATTTGGCCGAACACCGTGTACTCACTCAGAAACAACCACATGTCACATCACAATCTCAGATGGAAACAAACACAAATCGCTTCATTCATTCTCTCCACCTCGCACTCGCATGTGCATTCTCTCATCCTCTCCCATCCAATCACACAAGCACGTTGAAAGTGCTTGCGACTCAGACATCTTCTCTCGGATTGACAAGTTGACGACAATTGAAACGATATTTCAAGAGACGAACAGACTGAAGTGTGGATCGCCACTGACTCGAGTGAACAGACAGGATTCTGAGTGACGTTCAGTGAATGGGTCGATCATGTGCACAATCATGTTTGCAAGCATGTATGCACACACACAATGATGAGGCGATTGTGTGTGGATTGGGGGACTACATGTGCACTACACACAAAGCCACACCGGGACACATGTGAAGCGGTACACTAGAACCAGTGTGTAACACAGGTGAGGATAGAACCGACTGATTGTGTGATTGCTCACAACGATAGTCAGTGTGCTTCTCAATTCGATACTGTGCTTTGTTGACGATGCGGTAGATGAACAGCGAGTTTCCGTCCGATCACCAACTCACATGTCTTGCCGATTATTGTGACATTCATCTGTAGATATTTTCACCTCGATTGCTCGTCCAATAGAATGCGTCTGACCGGATAATTCACGTGTTGGTGTCGATGGAGAGAGTGCACGTGAAAAATTGTGCTTTGTGCAGTTTGGTCAGGCAAAGTTGTGATGTGGTGTATTTCAGCTGGACACATAGTGCATAGTGTTGACGATATTGCTGATGTTGGCACGTTGTAGGTGGTGGTGTCTGTCGGTGCTGTGGGACAGTTAGTTCGAGACAGTCGGAGATGATCGGACAGAGTTGGAGAGGTAGGGTTGGTGATTGTTTTCGGAGTGAATGATATAGTGTGTGTGTGTGTGTGTGTGAGAATGCATGCATGATTTGTTTGCGAGTGGGTGTTAGTTGTTGTTGTAGTTGCGGATTCAGTGTGAGGTGTAGAAATAGTCGCGACCGTGGTGTAGTGGCTATCATGGCTGCCTTCCAAGCAGTCGATCCGGGTTCGACTCCCGGCGGTCGCAGGCGATTTTGAAATCACCAACAACAACCCCATCATTCACATACAGACATCACAGAGTGAGTTCCTCCATGCATACACAGCTGTACACATTCTATTCTCATGGATTCCTGACAGACCAATAACTGGCCATCATTTTGTCCATACCTCAAGTATTAGTAGCTGAAACCTCTCATGTCGTAATTGTTTCCAGCTCACGTTTATCATTTTGTCGTTTTTATTTTTTGAAAAAATTTTATGGTGTAAATTAATTGAGAAATCTTCCAACAATTTTTATCAGATATTTTTTCGATTATTGAATATTCCTAATAACTTCATTATGTTTTCGGTATACCTGCATTTACTATTTCAGTTCACATTGTCATTTTATATTTTAATCGTATATTATTCAAGAATTTTGTTTAATGTTGACAACATAGTCAATTGAGATCATAAATCGATTGATGTTAGATCAGTATTGCAAACCTAAAAGCACTGAATGGCTATTTCATCGTATTGTAGGATTTCTCAGTAATGTACATCCACGATACCGCTCGCATGATCTTCACAATCCTATAATTAACAACGTATTCACATTATATTTTATAATTCAACATTATTTTGAATAAACAATCATGATATAAAGATAAGAACAATCTTATACATTTGTATATATACTTTATAATCAAAATACATCGATCAAAGATGAATGATAATTAATCGTTGTTGTTCAACTACACAACAGTCTAATCATTTAAAGGCACAAAGGCACTACAACACTTTCATCATATACTGCATTGAATGCTTATTAACTCAGATAAGAATACAATGGATAAACTGGATTCAATGAGTTATGTAATACCATTTTGAAAGAAGAAGAAGAAAAAAAAGAAGAACGATTGCAAAGTTAAAAACCTAGAAAAAAAATAATAATAAATTTTTATTATCAAATCTTGAACACCTTGAAAATGAACATCAAAACAATTACTTGCTTATAATAAGAATGTTTTGATTGGCAGGGTTTATTATATAATAATTGTGTTATTATTATTCCATATCATTGATAGTTGAATTAGTGGTATTCAATGTTGACATTAATTTGGTTACATTCATTTCAGTTGTTGATGATATTGTTGTGATAAATGGTTTACGAAATAAACCATATACACAATTATAATTATATGATAGCATTGATGATGAATTTTGTGTATAACCACATTGAATATTAGATTTTTCACGCTAAATTTTATCATAAAATAATTTTAAAGAAAAAAAAGATTATGAGAATAAATGATTAAGAAAAACAGAATAAACATTATTATAAATAAAGATGGATAGTAGTTAGCAGTGGAAAGAAGGAAGTGTGTTTCGTCCTATATGAGACTCGACAACTAAATTTACCTGTATCCTAGAGTTGATGTTCACTCTAGGACTCAAATCTAGTACCGTTTGCTTTAAACGCCAACGTGTTATCCACTTAGCTACTGAGTCCTGATAGCTACCGGCTTGTGCAATGAGGTGAAGTTTAAATTCACTTGGTGTTCTTTTACTTGTATTTTCCCATTGATGTCTTTAAAGCTGAAACTGATCAATCTCATGTTGGCATCATCTGCAGATTGCCTCGATATAGCCTTAGATCACAAGCTTTTTAAGCAAAGATGGATAGTGGCTAGCAGTGGAATCCAATTTGACGTGCATTTTGTTCTATTTGGAACTCGTCAACTGCATGTCCTGCATTCCCGAGTTGATATTCGCTTTTCGTCCTCTCAATTTTGTAAACAACACCGGTGCCACGAGAAGGCAGTGAGTAGGACTTTCCTGGCAGTGGTTGTATATACGTGTCCACTTGAGAGCATTTTGAGTGGGAGAGCTAACTCTTCCCACTCTCGGCCGTACCAGGGCATTTGGGGAACGTACCACGGTGCACAAATGTGAAAAAAAACTCGAATGTGAAAATGACCAACACCTCTGAAGATGCCCAATAATAATATTTTTTCGCTCATTTGATTGCCACTGGAAATTTAGACTAAGTAAACTTAATGACAGTTTGTCAGCTTTCCGATGCATTGAACTAACTTACATATTTCAAAAAAATATTCTACACATAATGAATATTAGTATAGGATGGTTGTGGAGATTGCAGAATCTTGTGCTTTTATATCACAGACTAATGTTGAACAACCATGAGAAACCAAATGGTATTGGATAGTTATCTCTTTATGGATCGAATCCAGGATCATAAGACCAAGAGAGAAAGAGAGCAATTAATCTCCGGACCACTAAGTTACCATTCAATGGCTTATACGGTTACCTTAAGGTTAAGCGCTTGAAGTGAGGTCTAACAGTTTTGGGTTTGATTCCTGACATAGTCATGGATCCTCATTGCTGAGGGATTCCACACTTGAATCAAATAATTATCCAATATCTCCTGCTTTTCAATAACTGTCTGAATAGTTAGTTTGTGATGTAAACTATAACAAACATAATGAATCGTTACATATAAATATCGAACAAAATCACAAAAACCAATCAACTTAGTTATAATTATGATATTACATTATTATAAAAACTAAATTATATCTTACCACAATTTCAAAACCTAATCGTTTAATAGCTAAACGAAGTTCTGTATAACTTAATTCTAAAGAATCTTCACCAGGTATATCAGAGAAATGATATAATAATGGACCTAAAATATAAAATGATACAAATATTATACAAAAAAAAACAAGGAATTACATAGAATGATTACACAAAAACATAAGTATGTACTGTTCAGAATATTCATGAATATTATAGTAGTGAACAAAAACACAAATGACGACAACTGAATGGATTTGAGCATAAAATTACAAAAACATCTCAATAAAATCTGACAACCATACAGTAAATAGTTAATTTGCAAATCTCATTTCATCGTCTCAAATTTCATTGTTTATGCATTTTCATACTAATTTCTCTCCGTTCCCCTTCTTTCCTTCTTGATCTTCTACTGAAATACATTCTGTCTGACTATCGTTATATACTACTTGTGTGGATATAAGTAGTACATGCAAAGAACTGATAATTTAATAGTTAAAAGGCTTAGTTTTTCAACAAGTAAATTGTAAGTTCAAAAACTTTAGCTCTAAGCTAATTAAATTTTTCGAGGATGCTCAATCTCGGAAATTTGAACTTTTAATTTTCCTGCCAAAAAGCGCTCACTTTTACTTTTATTTTGTATTTCCCACTTGGAAGGATTCGAAATGTTATTGGTCTGTTTCCTCTTTTAATACGCTATTTCATGATATTCCCCAATGACATTTTTATACTGTATATATGTACTTGAGTTGTGTGCCAGTTCATCCGTGTTTCCAACCGCTTGTAGAATATGTTTTTCCCTCGGGTGATTCTGGTTTTCTCCTTCTAGTTGACAGAGCCGAGGCACAGTGAGTAGTTTAGCTAATCTTGTTATTGTGTTGCTGATCCTTCATTCCGTTTGTCGATTTTAGAGGATCTTACTATCTCTTCAAACATAGCAAAGTTCGAAAGATCTTATCAATGTCACTAGTCCTTATTAAAAACAACCTATCTTAAATTCTGGTTGAACAGGTTTTGTAGGAGTGGTTTGACTTATAGATTGAATTTATCACAGATTGGTCGTGGAGTATCACTGAAAACTACAAGACATAAAACAGGTGTTTTATTCTAGTATCAAACTGCTCACATGTGGGAACTTGTGACCCCACAAATGGAGTTGAATTCAAAACCTTTACGTCATGCGGCAAATCTCTAAACACTAGAACTAATGGGTGAACGTCTAATTGTATGATCCAGACTGTAATCGATTTGTGAAATAAAGTGATGATCATATAATGTAATTGGACAATCCAGTAGTTCCAATGATTAGGGATTTTCTGCTAGGCCTGGTCTTGGATTTTATCAGTGAAGATGGGGACTATTAAGGAATCTCGTTACTAGGACGAAATGTCTTCAATGTTCCATGGCTTTAAATGAAACTACAGCTGACATTAGTCTGTAACAAATGCGACCTGCAAATCTGGCTAGGTATATTAGCCTGTGCTTTATTATAGTAAAGGTTTATATTTTTCTATCGTTAATATTCAGAACTAAATTTAATCACTTTTAGTTGACATACAAACTAAATTTGGGCAAGTACCTCGATAATGTTTGTAATTAGTAGTGAAATTCAGAGCACGAGGCACTTCGTTTTATTTATAACTTTCCAGACGAGTGCAATGGTGATAATCAGTGACGATCAACACAAAAAAAAATGCTTATTCACCGAGTACTTGAATATGGAAGTTAATGCTACTATCCGGTTTTCAGCTAATAGAACTCAAATTGTTAAACATTATTAAAACTATATATTTAAAACGACATATGTGGCCAAGTATACGAGCATTTCATTGAAAGATAACATAACAGAATATAACATAGAACTTAATCAGTTTACAATTGACTAATTAGGTACATAACCCTTACAGTCTGCTTTGCTATTCTTATATATCTAAGTTAATAGAATATTTGCTTAGTTGAGTTGCTTCTCTATTTAAGTTACTCAGAAAAGGCAGGAAATTACCTGTGAAGCTTCAACAACTGAAGTGATTAGGACATGTTACGTATGATCAGTAATAATCAAACCCGAATTGTAATGCTGAACATGTTAGAAGAGGTTATTCACTTCCAGTTTGAGATCTATGTGCACCACAACTGTAAATCACGAGTTACAGGTTTTAAATAGAATGATTTAGGATGGGTTCAGCAATGGTACACGCACGATTCACCGTCTCTGTGATTCTTAACGTTGAATTTAATATCATTCTATAACTAACTTTCATTCGTCAACTTCATTCATTATTTTACATTTATATTTTTTATATTTCTACTATAACTGACACAATCATTCATTCTCCTATACTTAAAATGATAGCGGTTCGTAATCACTGTAGTGAAAAGAAAAATAGAAAATATGGCTAACGATTACCTGCACCAGGTTCTACATTTTTTTAAAGACAGGCAAGATATATCAAATAACAGGTATTTCTGACTAGTCGAATTTACAAAAAAACATCAGTCAGTCAGCAACAACGTAGAACTTCGTACGTACGTACATCAGTTCAAGTTACCGTACCACATTAGCACACAGATACAATTGTCGATTCAAATCCCATAGTGATAGAGGTAAGATTAGGGTTCGAAGATGTAATTCAAGGAGTATAATCTAATGAAATAAATTTGAAAAGAGAAAAAAGGGACACGAACAATTCAGAGAATTAGAATTTAGAAGAACACAAAGATTGGATACACCTGTACTACAAAAAGATAATTCAGGATGAAATGTGAATTATTCAAAGCCTCTTGTTTTGACTGTCTCTAAGGCCTTAGTAACAAAGAAATAACACGAACCATATTAGGTCACTTAGACTACTGGTCAAACTTCTTCAAACTAGAAATTCAATAAGTAGAGAGGGGTGACTAAACAATATAAAAATTGGTGAAATAATAATAATAACAACTCGATTAGCCAATCATCATATGTTCTCAGGCCCGTACCATACCGTACTTATGACATTTTAAGGGGATGTTGGGCAGAATCATTAGGCTTTCCAACAAACACGTGTCTCGTTAAAAGCCAACTGATTACATAAAAACTTGTATATCTAATAAATGAATAATCTTTGTAAAGCATTAACTTATACATACCGAAATTGATCCAATAACCGCCAGGTTTAAGTATACGCCAAATTGTATCCAAATAACTAAGAATATTATGTGCTGTGTCAATGAAAAACACAGTGGCTATACAATCCCATGTATCTGTGTTTAAATCAGAAAAAAAATAGGCACAAAACCAATAAGCATTAATGATTTCAGAATGAAGTCGAAAGAAGGACGGGAGGTAGAATAAATTGATCTCATAATGATATTGTTTAAAAAGACTTATTTTATTGACTTAGAAACAAAGCCAACAAATGCCCTGGTATGGTCGAGAGTGGGGAGAGTCAGCTCACTGTCGAAATGCTCTCAAGTGGACACGTATATACAACCACTGCCAGGCAAGTCCTACTCACTGCCTTCTCGCGACATTACTGCTGTTTACGAAATCGAGAGGACGAATAGCGAATGTCCGCCACTTTGACAGGGTTAGTGGACACGGAGAGTCCACCTATAGGAGTTGGAATACCCTTATTCCAAACTAATCATGCACATGTGCTCCATGATCCTGAAGGAACAAATGGCGTATGAACCAATCGTTGTTCACCGACTACCATGGGACTGCATCTCCTGACGTTGCTCAACTACCTTATAGATTAGACATTTATGTCGAAGGTCCGGGGTGTGGCCTCCTAAGAAACCACCTGTTTCAATTTGGGCACCCGGACAGTATCTCAGCCCTCACACAAATCGAATGATTTATGTTGTGCATATCTATTTTGTGCCTCCTTGTACTAATGTTTATGTGTTTAAACAAATAAATAAATACTTAGAAATAAAATGTTCGTTAAATAATTCAAAATAGGAATGACGTCAGTTTAAAAAACTGGTTTCTAGAAGAGGTGCCCCTTTATATGAAACTTAGTTAATCACCATCCAACTTATCAGTGCTATGCCAATTCTGTTTAAAGAGACAGTTAAGAAAATGGATTTTACTAAACGAGTAAAAATCAGCATGTAATACCTATACCACTTATCATCGAAAGTGAGATCATCACTGTACAATACAACACAAACTAACGATAGACGATATAGAAGTTGTTCAAACAAAACAACAGGGATATTGAATAGAGGATTAAAAAAATTGATTATAGTTTGTTGTTTTCCTTTCAACTACATAAAAGTGAATATGTTTAGTCATTTTGAATGATCAAAATAACTTGCAATTTAAAGGAAAGAATTGTTCATAAAGAGTAATTTATTTGAAATATAAATCAAACTAGAATTTAAAGTTATAAAAGGGGTTTTTGTAACTGTTTGAGATCAGGGTTAAAGAATACTTAGTCAGTGAAATACAATACAGAACCTAGCACATGTCTACATTCATTCAAGTTGATATACCCTATTAAAACATTAAGATAACACTGTCACGGCAAATCCAAAAGTAGTAGATGTGGTAACAGAAAAGATTAGACATCGAACACACTGTTCGAGAAAATATAAATTTAGTGAAATAAAAAGTATTTGTAGAGTTTAATACTTGGGGTTTAAGGGAAAACAAAGTGTGAACGCACCTAAGCTACAGTGAACGACTCTGAGCCATGTCATTCACTCTTTAAGCATTGGCTACGATAATCACACGGACCCCAGTCAGGTGGTTTCCACCTACCTATATGCCTTAGTCCAACAGTCAGTCAGTCCAAAGACTGATCCCACATCTTGGTTTGGCCGCACTTATTTTTCCTGCAAACAACTTCTACACCAGTCATCATTGCCCGTCGAGGTAGTCGGTGGATGGCCATATGTAATACATGTCCTAGGTACCTCAGTCGATAATGATCCACTAAATCGTCAATCGGTTTGCCATGCCAACGTAGTACTATGCGTATAACCTTAGAATTTCTAACCTGATGTTTCAAAAAATTTATTTGAAGACACGTGAGAATGAATACCAGCAACCCATGAATATACTCTATTTTCAAAACGCCACGTTTCACAGTCAGAGTCGGTGGTTTGTAACCTTTATCTGACTTGATAAAAGAAATAGTTTGGGCATTTCTAATACTTTCCCGTTAATTATAATCATATTCTAGTAAGTTCAACTCAAATATTGCCTTCCTTAACGCCCCAAATTTTGTTATGCGACGTAAGAGATACTATCTTAAATATTTGCTAACACAAGTGGTACGGGAAGCAGGACTTCAAAGGTCAAATGTTAACCTACAATGGTAACAATGCAACAAAACATAAAGAGGTTATTAAACACACACTATTCAGGAGGGTGAAAACCCAATGAAGTACTCTCGATACACAAAAAGTTGAAAAACATTCATCCTTTATCCGTCTTCCGTAAGAATTGCTACTCGGCAACTTCATCAAAAAGGTATCTAAAGAACTGAAACACCATCAAAATGATATGTAATCATTGATATCACTGTACGTCAATAACCTTGGATATAAATTTCATTGAAGCATTACATTCAAACCAATGAGCAATCAATACACGCATCGATACAAATCTAATCCATTAACCTATATGGGAGAGTTTAATAAATCTTAAGGTTAAACGGTAACCGAACAGAACAGCTGACATGAATGAAAGGACAAATGAAGACAACAAAATCTAAGAAAACTATCAATCACAAACAAGGCTGTCATGACAGATTAACAAAACACATGTGGAATAACTATATATGAATTAGGCGCTGATGTTGTCCAGAACGACAATAAAGAATCCACAATTAAACTATATACCTCAGAAAACACAATACTACCAAAAGTCTCGAATTAAGATGTTAATTTTCTAAAATAATAAATTTTTAGAATAATCACTCTAAACATTCACAAAAACCCTATTATAAACTTAGATTACAATTTCATTTATATTCTAAACAAAATAATCTTTATGAACAGTTCCTTTCTTCAAATTGTAAACTATGCTGTCTATAGTTGACTGAACACTGGATAGTGATCAATGTCATGTGTATTAGGTCCTTCTTAGTGCAGACCACATTCTATCGATCAATTTGCAATGTGGCCACTATTCTAGGAGACTCGACATTGTGTGCATTATGTTGAGATAGGATGGTGGTTGGAAGTAGTCAATAAGAAACCCTTGACATAAGTTTCGTGCTGTTTGGTAATCTATGTTGATAATTCGAAATAACTAAGTATATCAACTTGTATGTAACTGAAGGGAAAACAACGAACTACAATGAATTTATTATATTCTGGTATCAGTGTTGTTTCTTCTTTTGTTTACTTTTGTAAAGAAGGACAATTATAATTAGAGCAATTTCATGTATCAGTATACACTAACAAACAAAAACACACATACTTGGATCAGTATAAATTTCAACGAAATCTCCAGCTGCCATAGAAAATTGAACATTAGCAGGTAAGTCTGCTGGACATACATCAGGGAAATGAACCGGGGTTATTTGATCTTCACGTGACATATTATTACAAAATTGACCGATCCATGGATATAATTTATACTCATTAACTTGTTTGCATCTGAAAATGTAGGAAAATCAATATGAAAGTTTGCAAATACAAAGACCACTTAGTAATCCGTAGACAATGTGAAACCAGAAGCAATAGGTTATTTATTTTATTTAACCATATAAACACTGGTACAATGAGGCACAAAATAGATATGCACAACATAAATCATTCGATTTGTGTGAGGGCTGAGATACTGTCCGGGTGCCCAAATCGAAACAGATGGTTTCTTAGGAGGCCACACCCCGGGCCTTTAACATAAAGGTCTAATCTATAAGGTAGTTGAGCAACGTCAGGAGATGCAGTCCCATGGTAGTCGGTGAACAACGATTCGTTCATACGCCATTTGTTCCTTCAGGATCATGGAGCACATGTGCATGATTAGTTTGGAATGAGGGTATTCCAACTGCTATAGGTGGACTCTCAGTGTCCACTAACCCTGTCAAAGTGGCGGACATTCGCTATTCGTCCTCTCGATTTCGTAAACAGCAGTAATGTCGCGAGAAGGCAGTGAGTAGGACTTCCCTGGCAGTGGTTGTATGTACGTGGCCATGTGCGAACATTTCGAGAGGGAGCTGACTCTCCCCACTCTCGACCGTACCAGGCGATTATACTACATAAGGAAACTTATTCCGCTCAACAGTTTGCAGGCTTGTTTTAGTAATTCAGTATGGTGAGTCATTAATCAGCAAAAGTAATATCATTTCACACGATCGATTGATAAGAATTCGAATCTCTATCTTAACAATCACAAACTGAGTAGACCATTCAATTAAGCCTTAAAACCATCTACTACACACCGAAATTGGAGGAATATCAGAGATATTGATTTGAAGAGTTAAATTTTTGAAAGAAACCTTCAAATGCCCCTTTGTATTTGCCTCGATGTTCACTATTGATGAATATTGAATCATATGATTTAAGCATAACTCATACAGGTCTACATACATTTGGTTTTAAGTTACACCATTTTTAGCGTAAGACGACTTATAATACCTGATGCAATCAGGTGCTGAGGTTTAAACCTATAACTATTCGGTTGAAAACTGACTGTCTTGAACATTAACAAAAGCCATCACCTCTCAGCTAACATTTCAAGTCAGTGACCACATTTGCATGTTTGACATTTTCGATTAGGTATAGCATGGTTAGTTGGAAAACACAATGGATTTCATCTGAAATACAGCCAAGGATTATATGAGTAGAAAGTAAGAAGTGGACAATCGCGCTACAGCTTCAAATATCTACTGTTGTTTACTGAACAGTAGAACAACTTAGAATCAATTTTTAAAAACGTAACATTTTGTTCTTAGATTTTCCGTTGTCGTCAAATGGACTTAGTCCGTGAAACTGATAACTAAATTTTCGGAAAACTCCTTTAGTAGGTTGCGATTAACTGGTTACAATAATTAGTTACACTTATACTTTGCATCAGTGTGTTGCAAACACAGGACACATTCCTGAGTTGCAATTCGGATTTTGGATACTGAAATACGCTTTATAAATGAAGATCGAGAACTTCAACCTTTAAAACAACCACCTTGAGAATTTAGCAGTGAATTTCGAAACAGAAACGTTAGTGATGATTACGAAAATAAATAAACGCAAAGTAGCAATCATTACTGGAAATAAGGAATAATGGAGTTGGAAAAGGACTAGGGATGATGAGAATCTTCCACCTATTTCTTTTAGAAAAATGATATTATCAGCCTCCTGGACAGCATAAAATATGCTAAATTGCAATGTTGAAAGTCCTTGAATAATAAATCAGAGTTTAAGTCTGATTAACTATTCACTTCCACTCACACAGATGGTATAATATGATCTCACCTAATTTTTTAATAAAACTTAATAATAATAAGAGCAGAATTTGAAGAAAATATTCAAATTATCAGGTACCACTACATTTACCAACAAACATTTAGACCGACTAACCTCATACTACCTCATACATTCGACTGTGGGATGTTATTTTGCAATAAATTATGGAATAAAATAATGCTGGTCAAAATAAATATATGCTTAACAACATACGTGTTTAGAATAAAATAAGCTGGAATAAGCATGTACAAGCTCCATTCATTTCCTTGGCATGTGTAGCCAAGATGAGCAAGTTCCCAAGCCAATCGACCAAGGCCAGCCCCTGGGACTAGGATGTTGACATTTGCAGGATTTCTAAAACAAGAAACAGTATGGTAAAGTTGTTTATAACCAAAACTAACCATGTCGAATTTTGTTCACTAATCCCGCAGGTAGAATGACAGCTTTAGTAAGAAAATTGGATAAACCGAGAGAAATTAGTTAGTAAATAAGCATTACGCGTATATAATGCACTAAAGCACGCTGTATTTGTAACTTGAAAACGTTAAAGACCTCTACATGAACAAAATTGGCCGTCCTATCGTTGTGAAACATAGTTCTTTAGGATTGGGAGATTCATTCTAAAAACCTGGGCGGTTAACAATAACGTGGCTAAATTAACATGTGCTGGTTTATGTGCTCGGTCTTGAGCCACACAATTTACGCAGAGGTTTATTATACTAACCAGGTATTTGAACTATTGGGTGACGCCGGGTTCGAACCTGAGAATGACTGGTTGAAAGCCGTACTTTAATTGGTGCACTGCAGCCTACATTACTGGAGATAGAGCAACAAAATCCACTGTACATATGACTCAATCTTTAACACTGAAAATACCCGCAGTGGTAGAAACAAACAAAGCAAACAAGATGGTCATTAAAACAGTTGGCTAGTAAAATGGGCACGGATCCCATTATACCCTATTGGAAAAGCGCAGAATCTGTCGATTTACTATGAACATAGGTTTAGCCCATCTCGATAGCTAGTAGATCTGACGTAGATTTATATCAAATGTTTGGTAACAGCATGGTTTAGAAATGACGTTTAGATTATTCCTATCATTTTTTGCAAATGCTTCACCTGGAAGAATATGGCATCTCGTGATTATCAACCTTTGAATGTAATAGATGTTTGTACTTATTCAGTAGTGCCCTACATACTACGTTCTACAAGTTTAGCAAACATAGTTAACAGCTATTTCCGCGAGTATCTACATTCACCGACAACTAGAAGGAACTTGTAATATTTGGAATGAACTGTAGTTGGCGAAAATAAGGTCATGTCAATATACTTAACAAGATTTTCGCACTGAAATAAAATTCGAATCCTCCACTTTAAAATTGCATGGTTTGAAAGTTTATAATTACTTAAAATAATAATTAAAAATATGATTGTTGGTTACAAACTTACACTTTCTTTGGATTAAACAGTTCTAAAACATCATTAAGTACAAATTGATAACATATATCCCGCTCTGGTTTTCCTTCAACCGACCAATCTCTTACAAATTGTTTTAAAGCTGATCGAACTTTATCCATTTCTGTATTTGTAAATGCAAAAGGACCAATTTTTTCCCGGGGACCGACCGCGTGACTGTTATTTAAATCTGTTGCGTTTGATGAACCAACTGTGCCATTCAACTCACAAGCCTTGATAACAAAATTAACGTTAATCACAGTCAACCTACATGTTCCCCGTTGAAAATGTCTGGAGCGGAATGCTTAATAATGCTGGCTATTAAATCATTGTTGTGAAGGATGCATTCCTCAACCTTTTTGAGGTTATCATCAAATTCACGAATAAGTTTATGGTGAGAAGACGGTAACGAGTAATAATAAGCTCGCGAGCGTTCGACTCTTTTAAGAAGATGTGGACTGCATACAATTGTGAAATATGTGCATCAAATCATACCCAAAAAACCTAAAAGCTGACAGAGTTTTGACGAAATGATGGTGATCCATTTCAGCAGCTTCCTTCAATTCCTCGTCGGTCCCCGTCATCCTACTTATGTAATTCCGAGTTGTCAGTTGGGCTATGTTAGCAAGTACGTCGTATGGGAAATACGAGTGAATTGTTCAGAGAGCAACTAGCAACTAGGCAATAGAAAAATCTGAAAGAGAAGAACAAGTGTTAGTTTTCTCAAATATCCCGAGATCGAATTCGATAGAGTGACCAGGCTCAATAAGATATCATATAAAACGGAGAAAATAAAGAAGCCGAGGTGCAATGCAATCGTACAAATAAAAAGTCAAATATAAGCAAGCTTCCTAATAACGTGTTTTGCAGGACATAAACGATATCCAAAAGGTACGAAAAACAAGGGTGCCTCGGACTGACCTTGAAATTATGAGTGTTCAGTACCCAATATCTAAGAAGCAGATTAAAATTTGTGTAGTAAATACAGAAGGCCTATGGCCTCTGTTATTTCTTTTCCAGCAAACTTCTGTAAGTGTCTAATCTCCTTTTGAATGAGTCAAGTGAAGGTGCGAGCACCGCCACTTCGAGTAACAGGTTCCAAGGCTTGATGACGCAATGTGAAAACTATTATGCCACGGGTACTTTGTTCCTTCTTGGCTCTTCCACTCTCCTGCTATATCGTCTGAGATGTCTCTATCTAGTGGAAAGAAAGATAGAAGACATATTGGGTTCAATATCATTTCTCAGTATTCTATATAACAATCAGATCACCTCTAAATCTACGATAGGAGTAAGTAGGTCTAGGTTTTCAAGCCGCTATTTGTGTGGTTAACCCCATAGTTCTAGAATTGCGCAGGTATCTGCCCCCTGTACTTTTTCCAGTATACCGGACTCACCTTTAAAGCAGGAGCTTGCATCCTGAATGCAATTCTCAAGCTAAGGCTTTAGAAGGTTGTGTTCACGGTAGTAAACATGGTAATATCTAACTTGGTGAATGTCTGTTCTAAAGCCCACAGATTTCTTAACTCCTCAACTGCAGCTTCCCGACAGTGGGCCGTGGTTTTAAAATAAAGACTCTCTGTCAGCCGAAGGTCCTTGTTAGATAAGACCACAAGTAAAGACACTTCCCCTGTGCTGTGCCTATTTACCTTTGTATCCCCAAAGTGCATATAAACACATTTTGCCGTGTTCGTAGTCATCAGTCACTCTTTAAATCACCTAATTACAATATTTAGATCCTCTTGAAGTGCTCGTACATCTGCGTCTCTAGTCATTTATTGCCAGATTTTCACACCATCAGCATATAGTAAAATTGTGTTGTAGCGGTAAATCAATCCTCAAAATAAATAGCTCTGTAAGTGTTCGACATTGGTAAAAGACTTAGAATTTATTCTTGTTTTCTGTTTACCACCTACCAGAAACTTTTTAAGCCATTTTAGGAAAGGTCCGGCGACGCCTAGATTTTCCAGCTTCAAGAGCAGTCTATTTGTTCGAACCTTATCAAATGCTTTGCGGAAGTCTATGTGGACAATATCCACTGATGTTCGATGGAAGTTTTCTTGGCAGGAGATCTGACTCCAGTTATATCATATGTTTGGTTGTGATTGAAATATACATATCGCCAATTCTCGTATATAACCACCGATTTAAATTGCGTTCGTCAATAGAAGAATTAAATGAGTCAAGTACGGGGATGAATTTCGGATACGTATACTTCATACAATCGTTAATCTAGACAAAAGACAGTAGTTCATTCTGTCTTGCTGACTTTTCCGTGTCCAAAGTTCTAGGAGCCTCAAGTACATCGTCTCGATCAAAATGCACGGTGAGCAAACGACTGGTTTTCTACGGCTCGCCATCTGTTTTCTTGAGCCCTTATGAAATAAGGTTTATTATGTTCACCTTCGATGTCACAGAACCTCTGAACTGCTAGTCTCTGAGATATCATGAAGGTCTTTTTCTGTATATCTTCAGAGATGAAGTTCATTCCAAGGGGAAGGAGCTTATTTTTCGCTCTGGTTCCGCATCTGTACAAGCGACACAGATTTCATGAGATGGTACCAAACCAAACATGATGCAATATTACTCTACTCTTGCATGCCAATTGTTTCCCGTTTTCCAGTTAACTACCATCTGATATTAGAACATCAAACAGGGTTATCGGGTATGACGCAGAGTTCTTGTCAGTACATTTTTTTACTGGAGCCTACATCGTTATCGATACCTCTTCTAACAGTCATTCACAGTCTCTCTCATTAACAGTAAACAGTGTGTAGGGCAGTGGCCGTTGACTTCCTACGGAAATTTGCCGTCTTCTTGGGATTCTCAAGGCCTATGTCTTTTTTGATAAAGTCTTTGACTATTCTTGTGCTTGATGAACCATTTGTGTTGGTTATGGTTGTTTTCTGCGTATTAAAGCATTTCATTTATGTTTTGTTGGTCTGCTTGTGAACTTTTATCTACGTTCCAGACATTCATACCAAAACCATGGATATCAGTGGCCTAAGAGGATTCTTAGGATACGATGCGTAAGGGTAGACAGTAATGTGACATTTATGTCATTACATAGATTAGGTAGTCACATCGTGACAAATCTAAAATTTAAGGATTGGGTCTATCAGTAGCAGTACTAATAACGAACCTAGACCGTAATTGTACAGGTACAATATTACTTTGCATAACTGTAGCATCCCACAGCTTTGATTTTACATTGAATTCTTGGGAAAATATACAATACTTTTGCGGATGGCTGTTGTAGACTAATTGATTTCTTTGGTCTAGGTTTCGGATCATTAATATCCATCTACGTGCGCGAGTGTCTTCATCTGTTCACATTGGCCCTAACGAAGTTAATAGTTATATGAAGATTTTTATTTCTTGAGTACAATTAAACAACAAGGTTTTGCAAAATAAATAATCTTATTTTAATTTTGAATTCGATATCTTATCGAACTTGTGGTTTGTGACGGCAACTAATTCGTACACTAACTATGCTACTTCCGTAGATAACTCACACTGAATTAAGTTTGGGTATAGATCAATTGCTCATCTCCCACAATAAATACCCATCTTAGATTCCATTCAATAATATAAATCAAAGATATTGTTCTTAACATCTAGCTGGATTAACTGGAGGATTGTAGTGGCATCGGACTCTAACCACACGACTTTTGAAACCAAGCATATAATTGAAGAAAAAAATTATATTCAACAATTGACACGGAGAGAAGACCAACTATGGAGAACGCGGGAACATTATTTCAATTCACTTGATGGCATGACTCAGCCTTGCAGACGTGGTCATCCTGTATAACTTGTCGTTAATCAAATTAAATATATTGCCCAATATCCAACCTAAACGTGTTCATTAGAAACTCCAGACATGTTGTTAACTGTGACCAGTGAAGACATTTGTGTGACGTCTACGTAAGATCTCACAGATTAGGCAGTCACATCATGACAAATCTACAATTTAGGATCAGTTCTATTGCTAATATAGTACTAATAACGAAGTGGACCACAATTCTACAGGATAATTTGGGTGATTGCTTATAGTGTCTCTAGAAAACCCTCCAGAATTTCATACGCCTCAATACGAGTATTTTACCTGAACAGCAACATCACGCTCCTCAGCGTCACTCCAAAAAATAGTCATCAGGGAGAAAAGTCCAGGTGCTCTTCCTTTCTTTCATTACGAGTTAGTTTTAATTGGAATGCTTGTAGAATTATGGTCTATTATGGTATGAGTACTGCTCTAATAATAGACCTAATCCCGAAATTGTGGATTTGTCATGATATAACTGCCTAATTTATAAGATCTTACGTGAAAGTTACATCATTATCTACTTTGACTCATCCTATCGCAATAATTACCAATATATAATGGAGAACTCCGCCTGGAGTCCTTCCGGGGGCTACTGCCGGTCCCAAGCCCGGATAAAGGAGAAGGGTTGGGCATGGTGTTAGCATCCCTATCCCGTAGAAAACTAACTCGCTAAAAAACGCTAACCAGAAAAAATTATTCAACCTTTTAAACTCTGCCCTGGGAGTCAGAACGTAATCGTTTAGAAGAGTTATGACGCCTCATGATGAAAGCTGGATTCGTTCGGAAGTTACTAGGCCGATGCCCCTTCTGACAACCAGGGCAACCATTTATTTAGGTACATGGAATGTTCGTACAATGTGGGACACCGGGAGAGCCTTCCAAATTGCTGCAGAAATGAGAAGATACAACATAGAGGTACTTGGAATCAGTGAAACACATTGGACACATGTTGGACAACAACGACTAACTACAGGAGAGCTCCTGTTATACTCCGGCCATGAAGAAAAAAATGCACCACATACACAAGGAGTTGCATTGATGCTGTCCAAACAAGCACAAAATGCGCTTATAGGATGGGAATCTCATGAACCAAGGTTCATCAAAGCCTCCTTCAAAACAAAGAAAGAAGATATTTCACCGAACATCATCCAATGCTATGCGCCTACCAACGACTACAATGAAGACGCTAAAGATCAATTCTACAATAGGCTGCAGTCAATCGTCGAGAAGTGCCCAACAAAGGACCTGACCATTCTGATGGGAGATTTCAACGCCAAGGTTGGAACGGACAACACTGGATATGAAGACATCATGAAACGACACGGACTGGGAGAAAGAAACGAAAATGGTGAGTGATTTGCAAATCTATGTGCCTTCAATAAGCTGGTCATAGGCGGCACCATATTCCCACATAAACGCATACACAAAACCACATGGACTTCACTGGATCACACCACGCAAAACCAAATCTACAATATCTGCATCAACAAAACGTTCAGGAGGACTATAGTGGACGTGAAAATCGAGAGAGGAGCTGATATAGCATTAGATCATCACTTGCTGGTCGCCAAGATGAAATTGAAACTCAAGAAGCACTGGACAACGGGGCGGACAATATCACAAAAGTTCAATACGGCCTTTCTTCAGGATACTGACAAACTCAACAAATTCAAGATAGCCCTCAGCAACAAGTTCCAGGCCTTTCATAATCTACTCAATGGAGGAGGAACTACTATGGAGAGCAACTGGAAGGGGGTCTAAGAGGCAATCAGTTCAACATGTCATGAGGTCCTGGGTCACAAGATGCACCATCACAACGAATGGATCACTGTTGATACACTGGATGAGATTCAAGAAAGGAGGAACAAGAAAGCAGCAATCAACACCAGTCGAACAAGAGCAGAAAAAGCCAAGGCACAAGCTGAATACAAAGAAGTAAACAAACAAGTGAAGAGGAGCATCAGAACCGACAAACGTAAATATGTGGAAGATTTAGTAATGACAGTGGAAAAGGCTGCAACAGAAGGAAACATGAGACAACTCTATGACACGACAAAGAAACTCTCTGGAAATCGCCGCAAACCAGAATGAC